AATACATGAAGTTCGACTGATTCTGCCTCGCCTGGGGTGATCCTTGGGGTTCTAATACATCTCGGGATCTTGATCAAGTTCAATTCTTTGATGCCGTCTAACCACTTCACCCAAGCATTGAGCAAGATGGGAGGCAGCACGTCGTCCCAGGCCAACTTGAGGCGGCAACACTCCTGGAATATTTTCCTGCCTCTGACTATAGTGGGTGACGCAACGCCCAAGGGGTCGTATATTGATGCAACAATGCTCAAGACATCTCGACGAGTCGCCCCTCGGCCAAGCCGGTCGAAATTGTACATTAAAACGTCTCCCTGGGTGTTCCAGGCGAGACCCAAAGTCTTGCTATTAGCAGCAACTATGGGGCACATAATCAAATTATTAACCTTACCGGCCCCACCGACGTAACTTGCCCTCGCGGAGATTGAGGAGCGGCCTCCTTGCTTACATGCATTTGGCTCTGGAGGACCATCAGACCCTGCCTCGCATCCACGTTTCTGTTCCATCAGAGATTGCTTCGCCGCAATTCGAGGCGTCGAGTCGTGCATAATCGTAGGGTGTCTTCCGCCACATGTAGCGCAAGTTTTTCGCTTCTTGCAAAACCTCGACTTGTGGCCTTGGCATAGGCATCCAAAACATAGGCCACGCTTCTTGATAAAATCAGACTTCTCCTGAAAAGATCTTGCCTTAAAGTTCGTGCACTGTTCCAGGGAATGGCTACTGCCGCCGCAGCATTCACATACGACCGAGGGTTTTTTGTCTTCGAGAGTTGTTGCGAGGATTCTAGATTTGTTTTCTTTATCCTTGCGCGGCGGTATAGTCCAGGAAAAATAAGGTTTGACCCGGAACAAATTGCAAAAGAAATGATTTTTTCACCAATGCTCCAGAAGGGTAATAGAAACAACATACTAAAAATCCTCGAAAATGCAAGTAGTGGAAGGGTGTCAAATTTAAGATTTAAAAAATGGCCGCCGAATGGCAATATAAGCCCAATAACGCATTTTTTAAATATATGGCCGACAGTTATTTTAGTGACTGTATGTATGTTTTCATGTTGGGGGTATTCACTAATAATAACTAAAATTCATCCAAGGTGGTAGCAATCTATAGTATTTGCAAAAACAGCCACCCATAAAGTGAAAAATTTTGATTATATAGGCATGTGAAATAATTCCTATGATAAATACAGGCATGCACCCGGAGTGTGTGTGTGTGTGTGTGATGTAGGGTGAGTGTGTGTCTATATCATAAATGGTGTGTTAATTGTAGTAAGAGGGCAGCATTGTCTAGACCCTCTGGTGTAAGTTTTTAGAACATGACAAAAATCAAAAGGAACCCTTTCCAAATAAGGCAAGCTTTCGACATCATCGTAAGTAGGAATATCCTCCTTCGAAAACGGCCAGTTAGCTGAAGGCTTCGTAAATAAAATTGGTATCAACGTAGACTTGCTACCATCGAGCGGACAAATCTCCAGATCAGTCAAAATGGAGGTCGGGACTTCTTTCCTTACGTTTTCCATTGTAGTTAGAAAAACTCTAGTAGGACGAGTATGGGCACCTAGTTGCTCAATTAAATCCTCCCTTATCCAACTATCGGAGGAATGGCTGTCTAGAGCTACATTAATGGTAACAAATGGACCATTTTTAATCCTAATTTTAGCAGCAACTATGGGGCACATAATCAAATTATTAACCTTACCGGCCCCACCGACGTAACTTGCCCTCGCGGAGATTGAGGAGCGGCCTCCTTGCTTGCATGCATTTGGCTCTGGAGGACCATCAGACCCTACCTCGCATCCACGTCTCTGTTCCATCAGAGATTGCTTAGCGGCAATGCGAGGCGTTGAGTCGTGCATAATCGTAGGATGTCTTCCGCCACATGTAGCGCAAGTTTCTCGCTTCTTGCAAAACTTCGACTTGTGGCCTTGGCAAAGGCATCCAAAACACAGGCCACGCTTCTTGATAAAGTCAGACTTCTCCTGAAAAGATCTTGCCTTGAAGTCCGTGCACTGTTCCAGGGAATGGCTACTGCCGCCGCAGCATTCACATACGATCGAGGGTTTTTTGTCTTCGAGAGTTGTAGCGAGGATTCTAGATTTGTTTTCCTTATCCTTACGTGGCGGTAGGGGATCGGCAATCTGCCCAAACATAGGCTGCTTTAGGAGGGCAACCTCTTCACGTATGAAAGTCACCAAATCTCCAAAATCTACGTTCAGAGCGGCCTTTTGTTTCTGGTAAGTTCTACGACGCCATTGTTCTCTCGTCTTATACGGCAACTTCTGCACAATATTCATTAGTTCCCTTGGGCTGTGTAAGGGATTACACGGAGAAGTCGATTCCAAATAATTGAGGCACCGAAGTAAATAGATTGAGAGGTCCTGTAGACCATCGACATCTTCGTTCTTTATCGGCGGCCATCTATTCAAGCGGTCCAGATATGCATGCGTGACCTTAAATTCGGTTCCGAATTCTTCGCTAAGCAAGGCTTTGGCTTGGCGGTACGCGGTCTCTGGATCATAGTTGACGCAGCTTTTGACCAACTTTCGAGCTTTACCCGAAGTGTACTGTTCAAGGTACGATAGTCTGTCGGAAGGATCAGAACATCTTGTTTCTATCATCTTCTCAAAATTACGCATGAAGATGTAGAATTCTGTAACGTCGGAACCGTCAAACGTCTGCAAATCTCGCTTCGGCAGAAGATTTTGTTGCTGATTTACGACCAAATTACTGGAAATCTCATTCTGCCTTGACAGAACCTGAAGAATCGAGGGAGTGTGCTCGTTGCAGAAGCCGTCTTCCAGAACACGCGGCATCACGACTGGAGCACATCTAGCCACATCATCCAGCGCCTGAACAGACTGACAGGAACCGATGGAAGAACCTTTGTCGATTTTGTCGAGTTCAGCCTCCAAAATTTCATTCTCAAACTCAGCGCGCTCGACCTCGGCTCTTCTTTTCAAGTCTACTAGCCTTGCCAGGTTCTTCTCGTACTCGCGTTTCAATGCTAATTCTTCGCATTCCAGGCTTTTAGCCTTTTCAAGAAGTGCTTTTTCCGCAGTGATCTTGGCCTTCCGCTCTGCCAGACGAATGCGAGCCGATGATGTACTGGATGCTGCGGAACGGTGGGAGCGTACGGAGCGTGAGGGTTCGGATGTCTGTTTACCTGCGACATCTTTCACTCTACGAATGGCAATCCAATCTTCTATTCGCTTACGGAACACGTCGATAGCTTCTTTATGAGGGGCAACCCATTTACCCAGCTCATCGGTGTTACAAGACTCCAAAACGTTCTCAACCTTTACTAAATACTCAGTATAGAGCTTACGAATAGGCTCCACATCTTCGGGATGATTATGAAGCAGTTCTTCTATTTCGTTCTTCTTTCTAGTCACTGCCCCAAGCTTTGATGACGGCAAGGTGACGTCACCACATGGCGGAGTCCGATGCATGGCCATAACTTCGTCTAGAATTTTAGTGTTGGCTCAGCGTGCATAGCTTGCATCAAACGAAGTTTAAGCTATGTTTGAAACTGTTACGTATATTCGTTTGGCGAAGGATTTGAATACACGATTTTTCGTTCAGTTGTCTTTATAAATCGGTTTCTGTAAACAAACAATATACAAAGGTAAAAATGGTTACATAAAATTAGTATTGCACATAAAGTATGATCAAGAAGTAAAATAATTTATTTCGAACATATAACACGATAAAAGTCAAATGTTCACGTTACACGGATATTCAGAATTTAAACACACGTACCAAACATTTCCTTCTTTACACTCGTGAGCCAACACCGCAACTGACGCTATAGATGCTTTTAAAATCGAACTAAAGTAAAATGTCGGTGACACGCATGCATCAGGCGTACGAAATATACAATAGAAGCGCATTTGAGAACCAGGAATTCAACACCTACAAACATACAATGAATGATCCAATTCAATATATGGCATAAGTCTCTAATATAAGGTCACAATATGTAGAGCATAAGTGAATCTGTTCCTATATTCCACCCTCCTCAAGTTCAAGTAGGCAGTGGCAGATAAAGTAGAGAGTAAACTTTTGTTTAAAATTCAATTCTGGTTCAGAGAAAGCATCTTACATATGCTCATCACGCATCAGTGGTATGTTGTGACAGTTATTTCTGAAACCAAGCTATTACTTACATTTTTAATTTCTACTGTCTATATGACTTTTTTGTCACTGCACTAATGCACTTGAATTAATGAATGACATCCTATATGGACATCCTAATGACACTATATTTAATAAATATTTCAATTGTATTCATTATTTTTTGCTTGATTGATAGAGCAAATATTATTCACTTTTGCATGATAACACCAAATTCATGTGTTCAATAAAGTTACTTAGATATATTGTTATTAATCATGGAGTCATGGGTTGTCGGCATCTTGATGCGATTGATGAATTTACTGAAATATCATATATAGATAAAAAGAAAACAAGTATACGATATTATAGAAGTACATGGGTTTTAGCTAAGTTAACTGTGTTAAATATGCTGTTACATGGAAAAATTGTTTCTACTTTAATTAAATTAACTGAGTTTTTTATTATTATTGATTTTCATGACACCATATAAAAAAATTTAATTTATAATTTAGAGCATTTGTTTTTTGATTACTCAAGCATAACATGATAACAGAAATCCAGTCTCTTGACAATAATAAAATTAGAAGTGATCAATATTTATTATTATTGATAATATGAATATTATTGAATGGTATTTTCAAGTTGTATTAAAATTAAGAATGGGACAGGAATCATACAATGAACTGTCTACTAGGCAGAAACAACATAGAATTGTTGAAGCTGATGATAAGAAAAATAAAGAGTTGACAGCTATATAGTTGACCCAACAAAATTTTTATTTATAATTAGAATCAGAGTTGGTGATTTTTTTTATTTTTTTAGATTATTTGCCTTTTATGAAATGTTATTTTTTATGTTGCAATTAGCCTACTAACAATAACAGTATATGGATGGTTAAAAAGGGCAGTTATTGCCTTCAAGAATGGCCAAGGTGGTGTTTATCTGAGCAGAAAGCGCATGTTAGGAAACGATGGAAACCCTTCCCAGTGAAATGCACTGTGACCACCTCAAGTAAGTCATATATATATAAACATCCAATCAAATATCTACAGTTTAATTTGTTCCCTGATCTGCATATATAAATGATATATTAGATTACAATTTGCACCTATCTGATTTGTATGCCATTTAATGCAATTTCGTCTATCACTAGTAAAATATTATATAACTCTGAAGCAAATGGCATACTATATGCCCAGAAATCGCCGTGCGCTTGCAGTGACCGAATGTCTTCCCGCTATTACGATTAGCTTATAGGCTGCCACGCAAGGCCAACCTGTGCACTGTGCAGGTGATGGATTTTGTGTGAAATTGTTTATTTATATTTCAGATAACTATTCAAGAGCTGTGCACCACATGTTACACGGCGATGCGTAATCAGCAGGTTCAGAAAATGAAGCCCGTAGCCCCAACCCTGATTACATGCAAAACAAACGGAAGTAGTCACCGTGGAGCAGTGTATCACCAGCTGTTTGAACATCATCGGGTTGCCCCCATCGAGCAAACCTCCTAATTCTTTCAGGTCTTTCTGTTGCATCTTCAGGTGCATTTGAAATGGATATTTTTAATGTACAAATTAAATATTTTGCTAGTATTGATAATATATTGGCATATATTTGTTAGGATACATAATGTTGTCATGAAAATATATTATATTGCATTACATTATATTATATTTTATGTTATTTTAAACAATAATATTATTTTATAATAAATCATATTCTGTTGAATTACATTATATTGAATCTTTCAAATTTATGTAACTATCATTTCCATGGATCAACAATTTGTATTGTCTGAAATGAAAATATGAGTGATAACATTTGTAATTGAATTTACTGCAATTCATTTGCTATTTTTTGTAGCATGTTACATTTTCTCCAGTTATGCAGTAATCCTAATGTACAGCGTTTTGATCAATTTATATTTGTGCTATTTCTCGATAAATTTTTCAATTTTATTTTATAATTGTTTCTGAAACTTTGAGTCAATCTCGCAAGTGCAGTCGTTCGCCCATGTAACGATTAATATTGATCCCCCTGTATCAGATGCAATTTGAAATATGGCTGAATTAGTAGTAATATGGTCCTCACGATACGCTTGTAACATTTTTCAAAATCTTTTTTAGCAGGAACCGGCTCGTGTAATATTNCAGTGTTTGCCGAGACTCAATGTTTCCTGAGACTCAATGTTTGCTAAGGTTCCATGTTATGATTCGATGTGATCGAGAACAAAAAAAATGCAACTTATTTACATTCTGCGATTTGTAGCATTTATTGTATAAATGTTTATATTGTGCAGGAGCAACTGGCTGGTCGGGGCAGCGCAGAAGTAGGAAGGACGCAACTAGGCCAACCACAAATCGCGTAACTCCTACCAACCCCTCAATTCCAAGTCGTGCAACAAGATCTGCGGTTGGCATCTCTTTCCCAAATCGTCAAGCACGTGAGCCTGCAGTTGCTCCAGCCCGTATTCAAGTCGCTGCTTTGGATGCGCTCACTGCTGGTCCTTCGCATTCAGCAAGTTGGGCTGTGCTTGTGCACAATGTAGGTTTTGTACCAAGTGACGACAACCTACATGACAGAGGTCGAAAATTTTTTCACTTTCGAATGCGTACATTTTAAAGTGAATTTTATAGGTAAAAATTATTAATGTATTCTAATGAATTTGATTTGGGAGGATACCTAACAAGCTAGGTGCTGTTTTTACTGCTCAATGCGGAGATGCTCAGAAACCGAATACGAAGTATCGGCAGTATTAGGAATGGTATTTGCTTATTCAATTATAAGAAGTTAAGAAAAGAAATATGCTCTCATCAATGTAGGGTTGGTGGGGCTACATTAGTTTTAAAAAAGTTGCTACTAGCGTGTTCGAATGTATTGGACATCACATATTTTTTTGGATGCCACCACTTTCTGAATTTGTGTCTTCGGATTATACCTAGTCATTTCTAATCGATATACCGGTATTTACTCGCGTGGTAATTATACGGAGACATTTTTGGCATCAGCCAAATTTTAATTTTCTTTGTGTTAGGAAAGTCACCGTTATTAGAATTAATTTCTCTTATAGTGTGCGACGGCCGGTATGACATGTTTTTTTCATATGGTGCATCTACTTGTATACCAAAAGTACAGTCGCAATTCCGTACAGATTGTAGATTTTTTCGGGAGCTTATTCAATAAAGCATATTTTGGTTGACTTCTTCAATTCCTAAAATTACAATAATTGAATTTTTGATGACTTTCCTCAGGCTGAGGCTTCCCATCATGTTGATGCATAGACTGTTTTAACTGTGGGCTTGGAATTTTTTGAAAACATTTGTGCTAGATAATATACTGGTAATCATCGTACACTCGGTTAAGTTATGCTCACGGTAATACCTAGTCTAGATTACGAACTATCGTTTCTGTTATGAATGTCATATTTCTCCTATGCATATGTTGACTTTATACGGTATAACTTGAATGGAATACGAATTTCATTACATAGATGATGCATCTAAGTCTAGGCCATCTGAATATGAAGCCTTGATTAGTGCCTATCATCTACGACATGAACATTATAGTCCCTTCATGTTTATTCGTTAATCCAAATATTCATGCTCAGGAGAAATGTGACATTAATATGGCAGCCGATAGTTCATAATCAAGGCTAGGTGCTACCGGGGGCATTTTTAAAAATTTATTCCGAGAGGTGGCCATCGATGGCGCATCGATGCGCCACCGCCTCTAATGAGTAGTTATTGGTGGAACATGAGTTTTTAGGGTAGGGTGGCCATCGGCAGGTGATAGGTGGAACATAGGCCGGACACGCCATCGATGCCGCATCGATGCGCCATCGGTGCTCCACCTATAATTTCCACCTATAGCCACTGAAAATCATCGATGCGCCACCTTAAATTTTTATTTGGGATGGACCCTGAATGTTCTGCTTCATTGCACTTCGCGTTGCATTTTTCTTTGCAAATAATCCAGGCGGCGATCGCATTTTGGCGCGCATCTGTGGCCCGTAATTACGTTGACAGCAATTTTACTGATGGGGATAATAGACATGCTCGGGATAGGCTTGCCTTCAGGGTAATTTTATTACGGTATTTTCGGGACTTTTTTGCAAGTAACTGTTTCAGAGCATCAATTACAAATTATATGTGAAATTAGTATCAGTGAAGGAAAATTGGGGAAAATTTTTACTAGGTATAACGATAAGATTGGATCTATTTTTACATTCTGTTCCTTATATTTTACCCTTGAAAAAGTAGTTGTGCAGATAAAATCTATTTATAAAACTTTTTTCTCTCAGCCAACCGATCTGCTGAATTCAGGAGAACAATAACACATTTAGACGAAATATATTAAAGAAATTAGAGCACATCTTCAAGTTGTTTCACTATTACTTTCCTGCATTCATTTCTAACAATACGTCCCTCACCATTTCATTGACAAGGTGTCAGGAGTATTCATTCATTATAATCTATTGAATGTGACTCTATTTCAGATCTGTGAACCGATCGTTTCTGACCACAATAAATGTTTCTCCCTTATTTTAATTCGAAGAAATCTGCTCACAATTTTTGAAGACGCAGATAACTCCTGGTGTACAGGATAAGCTCAAGACCCGCAGCCTTCAACTCAAAATGATTCAAAATTAACGGCGATGCACGTGCGACGGGAGGTAAAATTTCATCACCAGCCGACATGGGAATCAAGTTTTAGTTTTTATGTTCTTTGATGAAGATTTGTTAGTTTGGAGGCATTGGAAGCTGCTGGTAATTCGGTTATCTTAACAAAAGAAACCACGACGCAGCCACAATTAGATTGGCGACGTCCAGAGGAACTCCACAGCTTTTCATTGGGATCTCTTCGGAGCCACGTGACTGCAGGAAAAATAATAGCTAGGATTTCCTTCCGATTTCAAAAGATAACCTAGCTTTGAAATTTGTTTAAAGGCCTCAAAATAAAATTGAATTTTTTTCCTCAGAGCAAAATTGCAAATAATATGGCTGGTTGGCTTGTTTTATTTTCTCCTTCAACTAGTATTTGAAAAATCAATGGCGATTATTGAAAATTAAATCGTTGGTTGTGAACAGCATCAGAACTTTTGATGAACAATTCGAATAATATGTATAATACATGATAATCGTTCTAAATAATGCATACATAACAACCTGAGTGACACACTTAATATCCTGCAAAAGTTGAACTTATATTGTAATAACATGTAAACAGCTTCGACTTGCGCAATCATTTTTTCCTTTAATTTAAACACCATTAACGATGAACGCAGAGGAAAAAAAATATATTTTTCATCACCTTATCATCAACACCTGAATAATTATTCAAACTTTTTCTTATAAATTTCTGGAACATTTGAGCCTTGCTCCGTGCTTAAGAAGACGGCCGCGGCAGCCGGGCTCGCCAACGAGGCACTTTTAATTTTTTCGAGGACTCCCAAAAATTTACTGCTTGGACTCCCAAAAAATACTGCTGAAGCGTGAGTACGGAAATGCAGAGATGTTTTTGAGTGTAGCTTTGATATTCTCGCTTGATACGAGCAGAGGTGGGTAGTAGCGAGCTACATTTTCAGTAGCGGTAGCGGCGCTACATTTAAGCAATTGTAGCGGTAGCAGTAGCGTCCGCTACATATTTAAGTAGCGATCCGAGGTTTTGCCGCTACAGTGCTACCGCTACATTTATAGATAAAGCCTTTAGATTTTACTTGATAGAATTAAATATTATTTAAAAACCAGCATGACATATACATAATATAAATTACAGTATAAAACTGTACGAAAGATTTCGGTGTAATGTTGTTAACCTCAGCCTGTTACTAGTGTCAACATGTTAGTTGTTACCAGAGGTGGGCAGTATCGCGCTACATGTAGCGGTAGCGGCGCTACATTTAAGCAGTTGTAGCGGTAGCGGTAGCGCCCGCTACATTTAGAGCATGTAGCGGTAGCGGCCGCGACATTTCAAAGTAGCGCTGCCCAGCTCTGGATACGAGACTACACAGAGCTGGCACCTTTGCCTGGAGATCATCGCAGCTCAAAGCTGGGAAGCTGGGAAATGTTATGTTGCATTTTGTTTCAATGAGGTTGGGGATAGAGACCGGCCAGACAAGATGAAACAAAATTAGAAATTAAATCTAATCCTAGAGAAGTAAAAGAATTTCCGTAGTAGCTCCGGCTGGTCGACTTCTCGTGTAAAATTGATGTCGAGTAAAACAAGACTCAGGATATTCTCAGTTTACTGTCATCTCTGAATAAAATATTTCGCTCATAATGTCGAATTCCTTTATAAAATATTGAAGCAAAAAACTTAAAATATAACAGTACGTGATATGACCTGAGAACACATGAAAATTTAATTTTGGAGATCTAATTCACTTGTAAAACAATAATACTAAACTTTTCTGTAATCGTATTGCTATTTTGAGTTAGAAATTTTTTGGAAATATTCGCTTGCTATTCGAATTTAAATTGTACACGGAATTGTGTAATTGTATACGGAATCCCCCATACCGACGATTAATGCCGGATTAGAAGCCTACAATGATCGTTTAGTTTGTAACTGAGCAGTGAACCCTGCAACGAAGCCAGCAGCTCTTACGTTCAATTATAACTTTATTGCTGGCAACTAATGCACCTAAGTGACCTGCAACGAAGCCAGCAGCTCTTACGTTCAATTATAACTTTATTGCTGGAAACTAATGCGCCTAAATGATGCCATCACCGAGTCTTCTCGGTTTTTTCGCGCGTCAACTTCTGGCTGAGTAACGCGCGACGGTCAAACTGATGCCAGAATTGACTGCAATTTGAAGCAGCGTTTCTTGTTTTACGTTTATTTTTAATTTAGAAATGAATTGAAAACGCTACGCATCCGCGGGCTGATTTAGCGTCGCAACAATATTTGTATATCATGAGACAATTTTAACGAACATAGAAGTAAGAAAAAAACAATCGAAAATCAAAATGTGTGGTTAGTGGTTACATTAAGGAACCTTCACAATACCATTCAACTGCCGACAAGAAAAATTACTTCAATAGAGAATTTCGCTGACCTCTATTCAGCTGCTATCATGTTCCGTTTGGTAATTTTCTGAATATTTCAAAGATATTGGATTCTCTTGAAGTCAGTATCCAGACTTTAATGCAGTTATCTATTTTAATTTCAATAAATACACACATGCATTTGTATCGGGATTTTTGCAGCTGTGAATTATCAGCTTGTCGAGAAAAAATCTTTGTCTTCTTCTAAATACGAACCCAATTTTACGTTTAAAATTCTTACTAATTTATCTTAATGTAGTTTTGCACTCGCAAAATATCAACTTAATTCTTCGAGAAATGCCTGAAATATTTCTAATGCGCTCTTTATCACTCCTCTCTTATTTTACGATTGGAAAAAAATCTGTTATTCAGAGAAATATGAGTTCTTAGTATATATGCATTTATTTCGATTGGCAGCTACAGTTATTACAGCATTTCTGAAAATATTTTTTTGTTATATTGTTCTGTTTAATCCGGAAACGTCAGAGGTAGTTATCGCTGAGCCAGTCAAACTTTCTAATACGCAAAGTATTGTATCACTAATTTTATTGTCATTGTTTATTTGATGGTCATTAATTACTGTTTAATGTTACATCGTTTGGAGCGTGCGTATTCCAAAGCTCTAACCTGGCAAAAATAAAACCTGGCAAAAATATAAACGTTTGGAATTCAAAATAGGATTCCGAGTCTTGAAACTTAGTTCCAACGGAAAAATTCCCTGACTGGATATTGATTGAGAATTAAAGCTGCAATTCATCTCACACTCCTTTATTGCCAGTCAAAATTCACTCAAACATTATGCTCGATCTCAGCACTTATTTTCTGATATTTTTAGAGAATCATAATAACTCAACATCCGTGCTATAAAGTCATTCAGGTTAACTGAATAATCAATGGAATACTTTACCAAATTTATCTGCGCCTGAAGGCCGCTTATTCGTTAGCCAACTAAGATGATTCCTTATATTTTGAAGGATTTCGAGACGCCCGATGGTTTACTGCCGTACGCAATAAAACATAAGCAATCGAACCCTTCCTGTTAGCGATGGCTTTAAAAAAGACTTTGGAGGTCCAACATTCGTCTTCGATTTACTGAAGGAAAGCTATTCAGAAACTTTGCTGAAGCCCTATTTCTATGGAAGCCAACTCAGGCTCTGAGATTTAATGGAGTTCGGGAAGTTATGCTTGCAATATCTCACATAAAAAGTTGTTCCATCTATGTATATGCTTTCAGAAGTTTGCATTTATATCGTGCCCGCTGCCTTGCTCGATTCACCGATTAATTTTTATGGAGAGTCCCTGCACCAGCATCAAGAG